GAAATAATCTACCCTATAGATGTATATATATATATATATATATATATGGTTAAAATAATAATTAACTCATCAACGGCCCAAAAAGCGGAAGAAATGGCTAAACTAATTTCAGAATTATTGTATAGAGTAAATCCTAGTATATTGCGGGATTTGAAAAATTTTAGAAGAGGAGGATACTTTAAAAGAACTTGATAAGGAGCTAAAATAAATTTTTATATTCGGATCTGAAATTAGATCTAAATACGAAGCGCAAAAACGGGTCCACAAAATGTGGATTTATTGGTTATTCTGTGAATGACCTGATAGTGGGTTTTTCGTGTTTCCTTTCGAAAGGAATTTTCTATTACAAAATTTGCATGGCACTCTTACTCCCTCCATATAATCATGTATATTTTTGGTTATAAGATCAAAATCATTACCCAGGGGAAAATAGGCCATTTTCCTTGTACCGGTGCTTCATCTCTTTTTGGGCTTGGCTCACTTGGTAATTATTAGTTGAAGATTTGAACTCAATACAGCACCCACTGTAGTCCTTGTGGTAATTCATAATCATGAGATCAGGTTGGCCTTTGGTGTAACCTTTTTTCCAGCTGGATATTCGTTTTGAACAAGTATCCTGTAGTTCGCCCAAGCCTGCAACAATGATGGCATTTGGATAAAATCTGCGGATATATTCATCTAATTTGCAGTGCAGATCAGTCTCATTTTCAATCTTGAACATTTTGTTACTGGGATTGTCAAATAGTTTGTACTGCCCATATTTTCAGATGAATGAAGCACTTGTGATGTAACCCAATGTTTTGACGGGGTAGCTTTTTCGGTCTTCAGTATCTGTATGCTTTCTTAAAGCTTGATCTGTGTCACTGTATCCAAGGAGAGCAGCTATGTCTTTGCCCTTAAACCATACATTTTGTTTATTATCAATAAATGAAGTTAGCTCTACATCCAAGTCTGCATTATGGAACAATTTCTCCAACATATACACCATTATATATAGGTTATATTAATATCTCTTCAAGTAGATATTACTCTTTCTCTTTCTCCTCCTCCACTTCGAAGATCGCTTCTAGGACGCCGGTTAATGACATTTCTGCTGTTTCCAGTTTTTTGGAGATTAATGTTTCATGATGTAATGTGGCAATTTCTTTCTCCAATTTTTTTAGTTCAGCTTCCTTATTACGGATTCTGTTATTTAGCTTTCGTATATGATCGTCCATTTATACTATTAGTTTGATAAATCTTGTAAACTGCTCAGTGGAATCCAAGAATCAAAGTCATCACTGTAACCCAATCATTTTACAAGAGCTTGTTTCTTCTTATAATCGCTACGAATGACTTTATCAATGCGGAATATATCCTGTTTTGCCTTTACTAATTCCGGTTCATAAAACCTGTCTTGTATCTCATTGTTGAGATCCTTTAATCTGTAGGTAATTGGATTTGTGGATTGGATTTTATCGACAAGGAATATCTCTTCAGTCCAATTAGGTGCGTAGCCCTTATCAAACACCTTTCTCTTATACTTACTTATCCTGAGTTTATCGCCAACCTTGAATCTGGGTGTAGATGACAATTGCGCCATATTGCCATATAGGTTAAAATATACGGTACTTTCATTCTTCTTTTTCCAAGCTTCTATAGGTGTCATTTTAATGGAACTGCGCTTAGTTTTATTATACTGGCTCAGTATTTTTGATAGTATGTCAAGATACTGAGTATTACCCTGGACAGTAAATTCCTTCCACATCTTGGTTTTAATTGTAACGTTCCATCTTTCACAAACACTAGGGTTTTCCTCATTCTCGGTTGAGTATAGTATTTGCCATTCTTTTCCAATTGTTCCTTCATGTGTTTGTTATAATATTCTTTCCCTTTATCAGTCCATAGATATTGCATGTGGTTTACGGCCTTCTTTGAAGATGGTTTTGAATGCTTCCGTGACAGTTTCTTCTTTTTTATCCTTCAATGGGACAATCCAGCCATATTTGGAGAATAGATCTAGACCCGTGAGAAGATATCTGTAACCTTTGTTCCATTTGCTGAACTGCTGCATTTCAACTAGATCAGTGTACCAAATTTAGTCGATACCGTTTACAGTAACGCGCCGCCGAGTAGAGTTGCGCTTTATGAGTTTATGTAATTGATCTGCTAATTGCAGAAAAACAAAACAAAAAAACCTTCTCAGGAGGGACAGGGGAATGGGGAGGGGCTGGGGAATGGGGAGGGACGGGAAAAATGGGGGGGAGGGGTCCCTCCTGAGGTCTGGTGGCCACCAGTTTTGCTAATTTTTTAATTTGGAAGTGGCCGTAAACATAACTATGGATTCCATCATCCAGAATCTATCTTTTATCATCAAAACAGCTCAAACTAATTTCCAATCTGGTAACACTCGCTCCTAATTGTGCGCATGCTGTGTAACATTCGTTTCCCATTCAATAAGCAATCTTTATAATTTTCATGAGTAATATTCTTCTTATGAAGTATATATGAAATAATTCATTTTTGAACTGCGGTGGTAGATGAAAGTGAAGAATGATCATCGCAGTAAATTTTCCAATTTAAGCAAGTGAAAAGAAGAACCCTTAAAAAATAAGGGCTTCAACGGGATTCGAACCCGGCTTCTTCTATCCAATTGCTTAAATTGGAAAATTTACTGCAATGATCATTCTTCACTTTCATCTACAACCGCAGTTCAAAAATGAATTATTTCTTATATACTTCACATCATTTCAGTTCTCAGGGGAGATATGAACTCAATAAATTGACCTTGCTCCCAATGTGTGCCTTCATAGCTCAGTTGGTAGAGCAACGCACCGGTAACATGGAGGTCACGGGTTCGAATCCCGTTGAAGCCCTGATTTTTTCAGGCTTCTTCTTTCAATTGCTTAAATTAGAAAATTTACTGCGATGATCATTCTTCACTTTCAATGTTCTTCTTGATCACATATTTTCTATCACCCTTAGCAGTTCTCTCATTTTTACCATTGTCTTTCACATAAGAATACACCTTACTCCTGAGCCCAACAAATTCCACAATCGGCATACCGGCTGCCTCATCCTTAAACTTGCCAATTACTTTCTTATTCGTTGAGTCAAAAAATGGACTCTCCTTTGGATAATCACTATTGTCAAACAGGTTTTTATCCTCCCATACTTCTTTGTAAATATCCTCTGTCTCTATCTCATAACAAAGGCTATCTGTATCTGCAAATAACAATTCGTTTTTTTTCCGTACCTGCTTTTAATGTAATTATAGTGGAAATCATACATTAGTCTCTTTGAAAGATCCAGAATGCACATTCCCACTAAGCTGGTCTGTGGAGTGTCAGTGTTTCTTTTATTTTATGGACCGCTACAACGTCCTTATTGAATATTTTACTATTAACTTATGTTGGCTTGGATACTAATTTGGATAACTTCTTCTGATCAGTCACCAATCTCACATCAACACTCTTTCTTATGGTCTCCATTGTTTTTCCAAATACGCTGTTGTTTAATAGTTTCAAAAAAGTCCTTTCCAAAGGCAATCTTAGCACCCGTACGCTTCTGTGTGTTAAAATAATTAATGTATTGCCCCAACCATGGTGACTGGCCAAATTCCAAAACTCTAGGTACTTTCTTTAGTTTCAAACCAGGAAACATATAGAGTTGCAAATCCCTATAGTGCAATACATAATTCTTTTACTGGAGAGTGATGGAATAAGCTTAGCAACCTGCTCAATTGTATTCCAAACTGTTCCTTAATATTTTTACAGTATGGTGAGAGCATATCAGGTGTCACATTCATTTTTTCTGCAGCAAGAGGGTAATCATTGTACAGTCCATGTAACTCCTGAGGATAGTCTAAATCTACCTCAAATATATATCCCTTTTTATTATCAGGCAATATAGTCTTACTCATAATCTTATTAAGTTGCTTGGGTGTTAGCCATTTGAATCCACCTGTTGGAAGGCACTGAGTAGATAGTGGATATACTTACTGGATTTCTCTGAATTATACTCTTTCATATACTTATTATTTGCTTCCCCATATCGGTTAGCAATGTAGGAAATCCCACCTCTCATCCCCTTTTCAATAAATTTGAACATATCCACATCAGTCATAAGCTCCAGTTTTATACCAGTCATTTTTAACAGAGCATCCTAACTCAAGCCAGGAGATGTAAAATAATGGGCAGGGTCTAGTTTATAATGCTGAAGGCAAGTCTTACGAAAGTTCTCAAATATATCCGCCAGCAGTAAAATATCACTCTTAAGATACAGATCGTGATAATCTCCCATTGTGTTCACCCCAAATATATCATCACTGATGCCCTCATCTGTAAGAATGCTATAAAATTCCTCTTTTGGGGGTAGTTGTTGGTCGCCAAACTTCTGGAAACTGTCCATACAATCGTATGGCTAAACGCCCTTCTTCATAAGAGCTAGTTTCTCCCCCTTGAATGCCTGAGAAGTGTAATTAAATTTATCTGCAGGAAGGTTGTTTGCTAATCTCTCCAAACTACTAGCCATACCGTATATTGGAAACTGTTTAGAAATACTAAGTGTTTACTCGGCATAAACGCCGTGTATTTCTCCACATTATTAGGGATGCAGTTTATATCAAAATTATTGCTTTTTCCTATGGAGCCTATCTCCTGCGTAATAAAATAGGAATCATAACCTCTCAAATTATGGAAAATAACTGGGATCTTAAACTCTTTTGGGTTAATCCGCAGCTTCAGATTACAGTCCTGATTCGCAGATCCCCTGTACTACCCAGTAATGTGACAATGATCCCTGACCCGGATATCTGTTTCCTTATACTGTTGGCCACAAATATGGCACTCTACTGCAGTCGTAAACATCTGTTCCTCCTCATTAGTCATATTCAGAGGCTTCTTGAATTTCGTACTAATAATCTTCTACCAGTATTGCACCTCAGAAAGCATCTGTTGCATAAACTTTTTAATAGACTCCTCCCCTCTGTAAATTTTCACTGGTTCAGTATATTTATCATTTTAGCAGCATACTACTTTATAACCATAGCTGCAGCCAGTGTGCTTTTGATATTTGTCGGTATAAGATTTAGCACCACTTGGCTGACATCCTTTACCCTGGGTGCTAGAGGCTTTTCACTCGCGGTTTCCGGTTTCGGTCAAGTCTTAAAAAGTGACCTGCGCGAAGCCTCTGGACCAGAGCACTATCCCTCATGATAGCGCCCAGCCAATTACAACCCCGCTTATACCAAAACATCCTGAATCTGGATGTTTTGCTGATTGGTTCCTTGCAGATATCGAATGTTTCATATGCTCTGATTGGATTACAATCACAATAGGCGCGTGATCGGGACGCGGGTGGTTTGAAGGTGATAAAGATCAAATCCAAACAATCCAAGCACACATCACGTACGTTTAGAATTGGAAATATCAGATGCCTGTAGGTACGGAAGATTTAGATAGGGCAAATAGCCGAAGTCACCGGAACATTCGATGGTGTGGAGGAAATATGTGCGGAACTAAGAGAGGGCATTGTAAATTATATTCAAAGGAGAGACATACTGGCGGTCTTGCCGACCGGCTAGATGGAAAATCACTACTGTTCCAGTTACTACCGGCATGTGGAGTCGGTGGGCAACACACGACATTTACCTCGTGCCATAATGCTGCTTGTTCCAATGAATTTTTTCTCCAGCGGGTAGATTATGACTGAGCAAATGTGCATTATTTTTACCGCTTGTTTCATACTGAGAGATCGTGACACGCATTGATTTTCTGCGGTTTATTTCTGGTCGGCATTATTCGCCATATGATGCGAGCCGAGAACATTCTCTTTGTCTTGTTATAAAACGTAAACTTCTTCCTTGCAGATAAGTAAACTTTTAGGTTGTTTAATTTTCTCCAATGGCCTCCTGGATCTGAATAACTAAAAGCGATTTACTTTTGTCCGTAAATGTGAAGGTTTCCTGCAATGTTTTATCACCCTAGGCCCAGCTGGTTAGTAGGTTCTGCAGGATGTTAAATTCTCCTTTAGTGATTTTCAGATCCAAACTTCGAAGAATAGATTGCACCTTAAACTGAAGCTACTTAAATTATGGAGAACTGCACGGTGACAAGATTAGCAATGATTTTTAATCTACACCTTGTTTTTCCTCCCTTGATACCTCGGCTTTGATTGACAGATTAGAGACAAGGTCAAGGTCCATCTAGCACGGTAAATCAAGGCGCTCTGCGCTAGAGGTTTTTTCTCGCGGCTTCGCCGCTCGTGTCTTCGGCTTGCGGCCGACGAAACGAAGCTCCCCGTTGCACGCGAGGAAAAACCTCTGGTACCCAGGGTTGGCATCCTTGTACCTTCTCAGTAATAGCTTCAATATCAGGGTATATAAAAAAGGGCGCAGACATCTGCTTATGATAGTTCTGAAACTGGAGTATATTATTGCCCTTTTGAGGCATTCTAATTGCTTGTTCCCCATTTATTCCCATACAATTAGTCTTATGCTTAGAGAGTACTTCTTCGGCGCTGAAACATTGGAGACAATGCATGCAGAAATGCTTTCTCTCCCTGTGCTTAGTCTTGTTGTACATCAAGCAATTAAAATCTTTTATTAGCACATAATGTTTCTTTTCTCCCCTAGTAATTAACAATAGGTTCAAAACATCATTATTATTCTGCTTAGACACATAAATGGGATAAAACTCAGGAACTCAGTACCTTGATGATTTAATTCTTCTACCATCCTCTTGTCTGATTTTTTGATTCTCTATGGATGATCCTCTTGTGGATTCAAATATCGTGTATGACACCAACGAAAACACTCATTGTCATCATTCTTCATATTAACCAATCCCTTTGTAGAATTTCGGAGCTCTGCTGGCAGGCGTATATATGAGCTACCTTTGGTGGGTTCATAGACTACTGTATTAATATAATGCTCATCAATGCTACTAATAGTCCAACCACTGCCCTCTGACAGCCAAACACCAATACCATTCAATAATTGCTGTTGTGATATCTCCAAACTTGGTAAAACGTCATTGGGGTTAATTACTATTTGTGCCCGGCTATTAAAATAGGCTGGCTTATAAATATTGTGCTCATCCTTTCTCTTATCAAATATAACTTTCAAAGTCTCCACAAATTTGAAACCTTTTATATTATTGAGTATGGTTCCAAATAATCTACTAATTGCTAATCTTGTATTTTGTAACTGAATAAGGACATCTCTATCAGACTTCAAACCAATTTCATATGATTTGGTAAAACCCTTCAGAGCCCTCCGTTTTTCACCAATTCTTGTCCTTGGTGCCGGTACTGGCTGCTGTTTCTTCATTCTGGGGGCTGGAACAGGCCTATATGGTGGGATGGGATTATTCTCAAAATATCGGATTATAGGCAGAACTCCCATTTTGCTTGGGGTTGGCACTGGCCTTCTCGGTGTAGGAATAGAGCGTGCTTCTCTCTGTCTCCTCGGAGCAGGAATATGGCGTGCTTCTTCCCTCACTCGTACTAAATTCTCGAGCT